ACTTTTAACAAATTGTCAGTGATTCTGCTGGAACAAAAAATAGCCTATATATTTATAAAAAATATAAAAATAGCTTATATGTGTGACATCTCTGCGTGCCCTGAAACTGTGTAGTGATAAATGCTGAAAATGTTACCTAGATATTCTGATTGAGATTTTGAAGGGCTTTTCTCACTTGAACAGGTCAAAGTAGTTATAAGATAAAGAAAGATTTTAATCAGAACAGCTGCAGATTTGTGAGATGATTTTTCACAAATAACCTTCTGTGCTGCTCTCAGTCTCAGGGTCGCTATGAGATCATGCTCAGCATGGAGAGGATCCTTCGAGGTTTGGGTGTCAGTGCAGTGTCATGTCACCGTGACATCTACAAGGTAGTGAGAGCCTGTCTGACAGACCGGTCCATGGCTGTACGCTGTGCTGCTGCCAAGGTAACAGCAGCCGTCATGTCTCATTTGACATTATTTATTATTTATTGTTCTTGTAACACCCTGTCAGTTTAGTTTTGATTTCCTTCCATGCAGCTAGTTTTAAAAATCAATCTGAATCTGGAGGGCTATGAAACTTTCTCTTGGTTTCTGCTCATTTTCGGCTCAGATGTTTGGATAGCTAAGTACTTCTGTGTGTCATCCGGTCAGGTTTTGTTGGAGCTGCAGAGAGAGGCTGCATTCTTGTGGACCAGTGAGCTGGAGAATGTGGCCACTGTGTGCTTCAGAGCTTTTGAAGGATCAAACTACAACGTCAGAGTGTCTGTATCCAAGCTGCTGGGAATTCTCCTAGCTGCTGCTGTGGAACCGCGACAGTTCACTGGTATGACCCCAAAATAGGGCTCTGTAATATGTACAGGTTATCCGAACCCAAAGCAGCCACAGACCATGACACTACCACCATGCTTTAAGTTATTTTAATAAAATGCTGTGTTTAGGTTTGTGTCAGATTTAGTGGGACTCAAGTTCAACTTTTGTTTTCTTCTCAGTCCACAGAATATTTTCCCAAAAGGCTTAGGGGTCATAAAAGACGTTTTTTTTGCCAAGTATAATGGCTGTCACCATGGTTCACTAGAATCCCAAAGTCTTAGAAATGGTTTTGTAACCCTTTCCAGACTGATGAATATTAATAAATTTGTCTTTCATCTGTTTCTTTAGATTATGGAATCATGCTTTGCTTTTTCAGGTCTTTCATCCTATTCCAGTTTGTCAAATCCGTTCTATTTTTGTGATTTCTTTATTTACCAATCTAGCAGTAATCATTCTTGGGTGTTACTGGGTGTGAAACTGAACTCAGCTTCCCAAAAAATAAATAAAGCTACTTTGTATTTTTTACAAAACATGATTTTTTTCCCTCCCGCTGCACTGTACCTATAAATAAGCAGCTCTCTGCATCAGGTTATGCCAATAGATGACAAGTTCAACAATCAGCATCTCAGTGAAGACATATTCACAGATTACATATTATAATGTAATTTAATTGGTCATTAGATTACATTATTGGAGTTGTACAATTGCAGTTAGAGCTTCCAGTGTTTATTAGATTTGCAGTCTCACACTGTAATTGCTGGGTGAGTTGAATTACCAACCCTCCACGTTGGCATTTACATGTATGTTCAGACAGCTATTTGCACATCTATGAGATCAATAAACTCTATTGCCCCCCTCCTCCCCCGCAGCCCCCAGGCAGGGTGCTCGGAGTCAAGGCTCCCTGGAGGAGGTCATGGAATTACTGTCTGGAGGGTTTCTGCGGGGTGGAGGGGGTTTTCTCCGAGCCAGTGGAGACATGCTCAAGGGTACAAGCTCTGTCAGCAAGGACGTCCGCATCGGAGTTACACAGGTGAACCACAGTGACAGCATGGAATCATGCTATTTAGATGTTTGTTGTGAACTCACTCTCCCCTGCCTCTCAGGCCTACGTGGTGTTTGTCTCCACTTTGGGCAGCTCCTGGCTTGAAGCCAACTTCCCTGCTTTCCTGTCCTTGCTGATGGAGCTGGCGTCACACGTCAGGGCAACGCAGACACCAGCTGATGCTGCAGTGACCCGCCGCTGTGTCTCTTTTATCCTGAGGAGCACTCTGGGGTCTCTGCTGGGAGAGAAGGCCCAGATCAACGCTGTAAAACAGCTCTGTCTCGCTGTGGCCACACAGAAACGAGCAGTTGGTGAGCTTGGTGAAAGGAAATTCTGTATATGGCTGTCTTCTGTGTATATAGACAAATGTATTAAAAATATATATATAATTCACTCAATAACAGCATGTTATGATTGCTAGAATAGCTCCTGAAGGAACATTATGGAAATAATGCTAAATTATTATGCATATAGGAAAATATCATTTGTGCCAACTGATTAAAGCTACTGCATATGAATATCAACAATTTTACAGGTACTAGATTCTCAGATGTGAATTTTTGCTGTATCAGATTTGTTACCTTATTTTTTTCTGAACTCTAGAATTTATTTTGACTTTTGGGAGTAACTCTTTTTTTCCACTATTTTTGAACATTTGAAGCTGAAGAATCATCCAAATATTATGAATATTTTCCATTTTGATAATGAAAAGTATTAGAAATAACAACCTTGTGGTACGTTTAGGCCAAATGTGGAGCTAAGTTCACTGTGTTACTCAAACAAATACAACTGTCTCTTGGGAACAACACCCCTGAAACCTGATGTGAGAACAACTGTATTCCAAATTACAGCCAGTAGCTAGAACAAAGTAACAGCAACACTTTCCCCCCCCCCAACGTTGACGGTCTTACAGTGATAATCTTGACCTTCATTTCTGAATGTTGGAGAATCTGAGCTTTTATGACACACCACCTATCAAATTTTTCAGTGAAGTTATTATCAACTTGTAAATTCCTGTAGGATGCACAGGAATCACCTTATATAGGTGAAAATGGGGCTGGGGTTGCTGGGGTATTGTTTTGCCAGATTTATTTAGTAAAATGTGCTTTTTAAAAAAAAGGAAATAACGTCCATATCCATATTTGGTGTAACTGGCTTCTGAAGCCATTTGATTTACACTGTCATTATTTATTAAGTGTTAGTAAAAGTATGCATGTTTTTGATGATGTGTGTTTAGATGCTGCTCTGACTGACAGGAACGTGGAGACCAAAGTCTCGTCTGCAGATGTCTCAGCCAGTCAGCACGTGTTGGTTTGCTGCCTGCTGGAAATGGGAGCATTGGTTCAGGGATTGGGATCTTCTGCGGCCCCCCTCCTCACAGACACTACCACAGGTCTGCAAGATGTGTTTTTCTATAGTGTTAAAGACACTCATTAGGGCCTGAGCACTGACAGTGCAAAAGGCTTATTGTATCTGCTCCGTTTATTGTTATTCAGGGAAACGAGTCACCTTGTTGACAGTTTAACCATGCTCAAAACCCCATTAAAAATTTTTGCACACACATCAGGTCTTGTGAAAACTTGTGTATTTTATTGGTCTTAGATATGTGCAGTGCAGAATGCTTCCATAGCGCCTATAAATTTGCAAACAATCAACTCCACCTCTGTCGTTCACATACATGTACGAAATTTGGCACACCCATGTAACATCCTAAGACACACAAAAATTTTGGATTGATGTCCTAAACCCGACCAGCCATAAGTCCCCCATTTTGAATTTAATAGTTGATTTTGACATCTTTTTTGCATTTCCCACCACTTGTACTTTTTCAAACTCCTCCTGGGATTTAAGAGATTTTTTTGAAGGGCGTGTCCGTGATACCATGAATAAACTTCAAACACTGATGATGTGTCACAGTAAAAATTAAACATTTCTATTGTACTTTAATGAACATCTTATCATCCCATGTATATAAAATTCATTGGTAGTTCTGTTCATGATATATAGGAGCGGATGCATAATTAGTGGGTATTCTCCACCACCATTTAGTGGCCATAGCAGACCATCAGTCTGCCCACAACAATGAGTTCCCAGGCTCAGTTATAGCAAAGGTGGATCGCAACACAGCTCCACCACTGCATGCCAGGGTGTGCACCAAAGTGCAAAAGCCCTCTTATCACTGCTTGCAGTTTTAATTTAGATATTTCTATCTTTGTCTTTGTTTCTTTCTTTGTAACCACCTCTGTGTCTCTATGCATCACATATTATGCAACATCTTCCACACTGCTGTGAGGTGGATACTAACTCCAGTTGTACATTGCTGATGAGCGGTGCTCCTCTTCTAGCTGGAAATGTTCCCAAGACTTTGAGATGGTCATACTGGAGATAGAACAAAGCACAGCAGAGTTTTTTATATTGGCTAATGTCTCTAACATATCTTTTGGGAGCATTTCCACTGCACTATACCCTGAGCCCACTGAACCTGCAGAGAAGAACCTAATACCATCGCAGCTTAAGATGGTGAAGTTGGAGTACATCCATCTCACTGCAGCTGATTACTTTTCAGAGTAGCTGGCAAATAAAATACCTGTTGTGATGTAAGAAATGTGATTTACAAATGTATTCACAAAGGTGGACGTAAGTCCTGCAAAATCCCAGCGTATGACTGACTCTCTCTCCCACTCATGCATCCAGCCCTCCTGGACACGGTGATCTCTGTCCTCCTTCACCCAGCCACCTTGGCCAGGCTGGCTGCTGCTTGGTGCCTGCGCTGCATTGCCATGGCTATGCCGTCTCACTGCTCTCTCCTCCTGGACTGTTGCGTCGAACGTCTAGTGGCACTGAAGTCCTCACCCGACGCTGTAGCTGGGTATGGAGCTGCTATTGCTGCCCTGGTGGCAGCAGTGCAGCACTGCCCACTTGGAATTCCACACACCAAGGACAAGGTGTGTACACTGGCACCACATTATTACACTGAACATTTTGCCATACACATCTTCAGTATTGCATTACCACATCTCTTAGAGTGATTTGAAGCTTTTGTCAATTTTATTTTGAAAGAGTTTCATGGCTACTACTTTTATTGCTGAAATCCTGTTTATGAGTTTGTTTGACAGCTCCACTTTGTTATTATTTCTGTTGTGTATCTATGTGTGTAGATGGTGTTGGATCTGGCAGAAGACCTCCTCCGTTCAGCCTCTCAGAACAGTCAGATTTCTCTCCAGAGGACTCAGGCTGGCTGGCTGCTCATCTCCTCTTTAATCACGCTGGGTAAAACTGCTGAACTACACTCTCAATCTTCTTGCACCATACCAGAGGAAACTGTGAAGATCTGCAAACATCTTTATTACCATTGTGTTTGAGATGGAGTAGAAGCATGCCTTTACCGATTGCAGCTTCTTTAGGGGATATTAGTATTTGAAAGGTTTTGCTTTCCCTGTAAGAAATTCATGGTATACAGGTCCCCATGACTGACATCATTTCATCTAGTACCACAATAAAATCTCCTCTTTTCTAATATAACAATATAATATTAAACTTTGAACTAACATTTTATTTGATTAAATCCCTTGTCACACCAGAGAGTTTATTCAGTAACCTGTTTCTACCATCAGCTGTTGACTGTTAAATTTTTATAGGTTGTAGTTTGCTGTTGATGCACCAGCAGAGTAGTCAGGGAAGTGGATGGTGAGACAAACATGCCTAATAATTACTTCCACTTCCTGCTTTTTCTCTCTGTTGCTCTTTATTGTAACTGACCAGCAGAACATTCTTAAATTAAAACAGATAAGTGTAATGATTTTTTTTTTAATTATAAAAGTGGTTCAAATGTTCAGGTGAGAAATGCAATAAATCCGTCAAACTGTATTAGCACTTTTTTTTTTATATTGTTAGTTCCAAAGAATGAGATCTCAGATACAAGCAATGAGCTTTCTCTGAGGGGTGGATGGGCTTTCCTTTAGCAACACAGTAAGGAATTCAGTTATTTAGAATGGGCTCAGAGCTGCTGCTCCTCTACATTGAGGTGTTCCGAGGAGGCCCTGTGGTAGATTGGAGAGCTTGTATCTGGAGAGATGAAAGATTTGATAGGAATTTGTTGACCTTGGTGCATAATTATTCCAAAAACTAGTTCCAAAAAGACAGAAGGTGTCAGGTTTTGACTTCAGTGCCTTGTGTATTAATCTGTGTTTATAGGTCCAGCTGTGGTGGAGCACCATCTGCCCCGCCTGCTTCTACTGTGGAAATGTGTGTTTCCTGCTTCACTTCGTGAGCAGGAGATGGAGCTCCGACGTGGGGACTACTTCACGTGGCAGGTTACACTCGAAGGACGTTCTGGAGCACTCAGTGGTTGGTACACTCACTGCCAAACAGAAATCTGTGTCTCCACAAGTTGGAAGGCATTTTTGAGACTCCAAATGTGGTTTCAGTGACAGGGTTAAATTTGGGTGATGGTTAAGGAGGGGTTAGGGTTAGGCATTCATTTTTCATTGTTAGTGTTAAGGTAAGGGGCTAGGGAAAGCATTATGTCAATTAGATGTCCCCATAAGGTAGGTGTGTGTGTGTGTGTGTGTAAAATTAAGAAAGAAAGTTACAATTTCTCTCAACTGTGTGTCTGAACAGCGATGAAGAACCTGCTGCAGCACTGTAGAGAGCTTGTGACTGATGAAGTCATCAGCCGTCTACTCACACCATTAACCTGTGCTGTGGCTCTGCTTACCAAGTTAGTGCCTTGTTGGTTTTAATTGTATAGAATTGTTTAAATGTATGTTAAAAATTTTATTTAATGTCATTTTCAGTTATATAGTCTTAGTATCCATTTATTTATGTCTCCAGGTTGCCTGCTCTATTCAGGTCTTATGGCAATTCAGTTAAGAGCTGGTCCATCGTCTACAGGCTGAGAGTATACGAGCTGCTTGCTCTACTGCATCCACAAACTTACCAGGGTAATGCTTCACCTCTGATACTGTTTTGCACTTATTTTCTTTCTTCTTTTCATTTCCTTTGACTTACATCTTTTTGCCCGTTGTCCTCTTTTTGTATCTCGTTGCCTTCTTTCCTTTCCTTTGATTAAAGTCTCTTGTTTCTGCCTTTTATTATCACAATTTTTCTTCTTTTTTTGTATCCATGAATAACCCCATAGACAAAGCTACAAAAAAATATTGATTATTTCAGTTATACATATTTTTATGTGGATGTATGTACCTGTATATCAAAAACATATCGATTCTTCTTTCATGGTAACTTATGTACCCTAAACTCTGAGAAACACAAGCATAAAAAGTGTGCTTACTTACTTATTTTTGTTAGTACATTATTTGTTCCTTTGATCTGCTTTGTCTTTGACACATTTATTTGCTCTGCTCTCACAATCCCATGTTGGAAAACAGTCCCTACTTTGTAAAATGTTAATTTAAAAAAAGAGGATGCAATAGAAAACATTTCAAATGTTTAAACTGAGAAATCTACAAATCTTGAATAATTTCATTGGAATGTTCCTCGATGCAAAATTGCAAAAACTTGGGTCACATATCTGTATAACCTCCTGTAGACAGTGATGGGTAGCAAAAGATTACAGCATAATAAAGCTCATAATATTTAAAGATTCACAGAGTCTGAAGAAATGCCTGCCTGTAGTACAGATGTTTGACCAGTTATAAACATCTGGAACATTTTGAATTAAATAATATAATAAACAAGACTCGGTCTATTGATCAGTTAGAATCCTGTGGCAGTCAAGAATTGGGCAACATTTTTCTCCCAAAAGTCTAGCAGCTGGTCTCATCCGTTTCCAGATGTTTATGCCCAGTGGTTTACCACTGGGCATAAAATAAGACAGGATGCTACACAGTGACACTGTTCCAACTTTTTTTTGACAAGTGTTGCTGTCATCAAATTCAAAGTTACATTACTTTGTTTTTTTTCTTTTTCTTTTCACAGTTAAAAGATTTGATACATTTTCTATGTTCTGTTGTGAATAAAATATTGCAAATCATTACATTCTGTTTTTATTTATGTCCCAACTATTTGGGGAACAGGGTTGTTAGAATTCAAATGGGTTGGCTGGTAGTGTCTTAAAAAAAACAACAACAGCATATTGTTATATTACCGACACAACGTTTCACTCACATCTGCTCATTTTTGCCATTGCAGCATTATTCTAAATTGCCCCACTGAATGTATCTGGTAAAAGGTGAAGGAATATCTTCAGGAATATTGTTTTTTGGTGTTCTGGAACTGTAAATGGAAGTTTCCTTCAAAGGTGCAATTTTTACTTTGAAGCTGAACCTTTGAGCTCTGATTACTGAAAGTAAAAGTTTGGCAAAAATGAGAAAACAACAGAGTACCTGGACAGTGTTTATAGGCACACTGTCCAGTGTTTATTGTCACTTGACATATCTGCAGAACTTCAATATCTAACAGTTACTGTAGACACTAATGGGTAGCTAAAGATTGCAGCAGTAGTTGATGTGAGTCGGTTTTCTTCTCCAACTACAGAGAGTTTTGGGCTGGTGATGAATCAGCTGGTGTCCGATGTGTCAGGTCAGGACAACCTGAATCAGACATGTTCAGAGCTTTCTCTGCTGCCTCCCCTCTGTCATCGTGACGACCTACCACTGGCTGGCCCTGCCCTCCATGACACTGACCACAGATACATCGAAGAACAGGTGAGCTTCAGCCCAGCTCTTAACAGTGATGGCTCAAAGGGGGAGAAACTTGACAAGCCTGAGGATTAGAATCAGAAAGACTGCTTTATTTTTATGTTGCAGCTCCACAGTAGCAGTGTGGGAGGAGGATCACTGGACAATGACCCCTTCAGTCTGTGTGAGAGGGGCTACGAAGCTCCCGCTCCTCTTCCATCCCCTGTTGCTCTGGCTACCACTTCCATCCATCTCTTTGGAGCCGTGTTCCCTCACATAATCTCTGCTCAGAGGTAAGCGACCTCTGACAGCCTAACCAGCACAGACTGACATGAGAAGGACATTGTGTATTTATTTAGCTGTTCATTTGCATACTTAATGTTGTTGTAATAACAAACCACAGCAAAGAAATTTTAAGCTGCCTCAATAAAGGCAGCACTTCTGCACATTTTACAATTCTTATTTATTTTCTTTCTTTATATTTGAAGAAAGTCTTGGCATTATAAGCACCACTACATCAGTGACGAACACTTATACAGTTATATCTAAAACTTCCCCCAGGAGGTGAGAGCTATAATAGTTTAACCCTCACAGCTTTCTCTTTGAACATTACAACAAGTTTGTACTCTTTAGAGGGACACAGTCCTAATCTGAGATGCAGGTTTTTGTTCTCAGTTAGGGCTACAGTTTGGTGCAGCTCTGCCAGATAGATAAGCTTTCTAAGCCAAGCTTAGAAAGCTGTGGAATAATGAGTCCTGTGTGTCAGGGTGAAGATACTGGAGCAGTTTGTGGAAACGGTGAACCAGCTAAAGGGTCAACGCCAGCAGACTATCCAGACTCACCTTTGTGCTGCCCTCTGCAGTCTGCTCAAGGTACTGCATCTGCTTAACCCCTGTGTATCTTCCAGAAAACCGGTTTTAATGAAAACCCTGATGTTTAAGTGAACAGTTGCCATTATTCTGTTTTTAATCTTTTGTGCTCATCCTTACACTTCATGTGCAATCTTGCATTTGCAAGGCAGTGGTGAGATGCACACTACACTAGCACTAGCACTTTCTATGCTCCGTAATAGTGCACTATACAATACGCATGCGTGTTGTATAGTACCCAAGAAATCAGCATACCACTGTCAGGACCAAGATGCATATTGTGTAGTTAGCTGGTTAACTGTGTTCGCTATTACTGTTGATTTTTTACCGCTCAGTTCTAAAAGGCTGATGGGCAGGTGGCGTGGACACCTAAGTTTGTGAATGTGATAACTCAAGTAGGAAGTCACCTTGGATTTTTAAATTGATCAATTTAAATTAATACAAGGTACATTTACTAAAAATCTCAGACAAGTTTAAATCTCAGTGAATTCGCCCTGAGGGTCAGAGTACGTTTTTCTAAGAATCCGGTGATTGCGATAACTTGAGAACAAGATGTTTGTTTGTCAAATGCACCACAAGAGACAATAGAACACTGGACCTATTTTTTACTACTGTCAGAGATGCCTACACCTCCACTGCCCTCCCTCCACTGGGCAGGTCAGATCACAACCTTGTACTGCTCATAGCAGCATATAGGCCAGTGGTTCAGCGGACGTCAGTGACTGTAAAAACTGTGAAGAGGTGGTCTCAGGGGGCTAGGGAGACACTTTGTGGGGCTTTGGAAGCCATCAACTGGAATGCCCTGTATGAACCACATGGCAGTGACACTGATCATCTAACAGACTGTGTCTGAGAGTCTGAACAGCAACATAGGAACACCCCAGGTAAGTGTTCTGTCCCCTTTCCTCGTCACCATCTATACGGCCGACTTTAAGTATATTACAGAAACCTGTCTCCTCCAGAAACTCTCTGACGACACAGACATTATTGGAAGTGTGGACATGGGATGGGAAGAGGAGTACAGAGGACTGATTGATTGCTTCATGAGGTGGTGGTGTGAGGTGAATCACCTGCAGCTGAATGTGGCCAAAACAAAGGAGCTGGTGGTAGACTTTGGCAGGAACAGATCCCGACCCTGTCTGCATTGGTGGGACTGAAGTCGAAATAGTCACATCCTACAAGTATCTGGGAGTTCAACTGGATCACAAGCTGGAGTGGTCTGCCAACACAGACAGGGTAGAGGGATATTGAGGCAAAGCTCTCAGGGCCAACCACAGGGGTCACAGCATCTCTTTGTAGAAAATTCAAGAGACTGTAGAGCAGGGGGGTCAAACTCCAGGCCTCGAGGGCCGGTGTCCTGCAGGTTTTAGAT